TTTTACTACTGTGACTTTCGTCAAGCGACAAATTTTGCGTGTACGCTTGTCAATGACGAAGACTGACACCATTCTTCAAACAATCTTATTCAGTTCTTGGGGGTCTTCTAAGAGTCTACCTTCTATGACAAGGTGAGCATAACTTTTGACTCGCTCCAAAAACTCTACAATTATGCATTTTCACTATTTTGACCATTAATGGCTTCTGTAGAAATTTTGGTCATCGTCTAGCTATTTCTGGAGTCAGTACTTTTAGGGGGCCTTATTTGGCTAATTTTAGTCTTCCTACTTTTGTTGGCCATATTTAGCCATTACCCCACTTTGTTTTTATATCGGGTAAATTTTGTCTATAATTGGCCCCATTACGTTTCTGGGTCAAATTTTTGCCATTATTGGCCTCCATATCATCAGTATTTCCACCTTTATCAGGACCCTTTCGAAGTCTCATTTTTTATCTGGTAGAACATTTTCGAAAGCTGACTTAAACAGCTCTCTTCGGATTGAGTCAGTCATCTTTTACACAGATAGGCAGAATTGTTTTTCCTTGTTTTTAAATTATACAGAAATAAAAGGAGGGTGGGGAAAAGAAAAGAAGTCGAAAAAAATAAAAATAAAAAGAATGTAAAATCAACAACAGAAATATCCAAATCAATAAGAAAAAACAGGTTTAACCAAGAAAACAATAAAAAATATTTTTTCGAAAAAACGCAGAAGTTTTTTCCCTTTTTAAATAAAACAGAAATTATGGATAGAAAATAAAACAAACTTATAAATACAAAAAAAAAGAAAAGAATTTTACACACAATAAACAATAGTCCTTAAAAAAGAAGAAAGAAAGAAATTTAACACGACAAAAAATTTGATTAAAATCAAGAAACGCTTGGACAGTAAAAAAAAAACAGAAAAAAAAACGAAACATAAAAAAGGTCTCTTCTTAAAATTACAACAGTAAAAGAAAATAGGTAAACTAAATATGTGAAGATAACAAGTCTAACGATTAAAACAAAATGGCCGACGTTACACGAGCAAAAATAGAAAAAAATGTCTTAAGAAATTACAAATAACGGAAAGATAGACACAAAAGTTAAGAGAACTATTTAAACAGATAAACAAGGTAACACGTGAACAAAAGTTATTAGACGGATAAACTTAAATTAAATAAGGGAATACAGAAAAAATAATTTCAATATAACTAGAAGAACATAGAGTAAATAAATTAAAAGTCCTAATAGAAAAATAGGTGCAAAACAAAGATAAAATAAAAATATGGGGAGGGTAAAAGAAAAACTGAAAAGGAAAAATAAAAAATTTAGTCACACATAATCAACAAAAATAACGTAAGAAAATTAAAATTTAAAACTTAATGCAAACTTCAAAGACCAAAACAAAATTTCAAAAGGTGCAAAAATAAAGTCCGGCGCTAAGCACTGGTCAAAATGACACTCACACTACAATTCAAGAAGACCTTCAACTTACCGGTGTCAAATCTTCACTGCCAAAGAGGCGTTTATTCTTTGTGTTTATTGATATTAGGAGACTCGGAAAATATCGAGAACTTTTCCTTCCAAAATTGCTATACAATTTCCTGGCAATCTTATTCGTTAGAAAATATATTCTTATCTCTGATAAGAATCAAGGTTTTGGGAGCTACATTTTGGAAGCAAGGCTCCAACAAGTTGTGAGCGTTGCCCCAGACTTTATGAAACTTTATGGTCAGGGCAAGGATGGTCAGATTCTGATAAGAATGAAGGCTTTGGGAGCCGGATTTGAAAGCAGGGAAAAAAGTTGGGAGAAGGATTAGAAAAAGGCTAGAACGTGAACTTGCCAAACATTGTAGTAGTGGTTCTTAAATTAAATTCCATACAAATAAACATAACATTTGATTCCAATATTCTGACTTAAATGAAAAACTAACAACTGATTTGAAAATGAGAAAAAACATTTGGGTGGGGAGGTTTTATGGAGAGAAAAATACGAAGTTATTGATTTCTGCAACCTTTCTGCCTGGTGGTAGGACAGCGATTCATATTACTGCACACCACTGCAAATGATCTAATCTGAGAAAAGAAAATAGAAATCGATTACACTCTGTCACTCCAGTGGGTCTAAAACTGACCGTATGGTGAAAGAAAGAAAACTAAATCGGTTATTTCAATTCATTTGCACATGGGTGTAGATGATTTAAATATTTTCAGTTTATATTTAGTTACATCCTTTACCCGTTCATTTTCTAGAAGATATTGTCAGGCTACCTCCTCCTAATTTTCGAAACCGCTACTAGGGGACGCTTTCCGGACTATAAATACTCGGCGATATCTTTTGTTGCCCTCTTCTTCACGCGTCAACATGTAAGTTTCTCGCGGAAGAACGCATTCCCTTTTGGGAAACGCATTTTTAACACACACACACACGTAAACACCTTTCATTTCATTTTTTCTAGGAATTTCTCCTACACCAAACTACACATACACAAACAATTCACTAGCTTAAATGTTTTCTTCATTCATTTCATTTTCAGTAACACACAACAATATTCTATTGTTTATATAACCCTTTATTGTTAATACATTATCATTTGTTTGTACATATATATATATATTGGTCCTTGTTTATTTTTTTATGGACTCTTATCCTGAGTCTGCCATGTTGTTTGCAGGCATTTCAGGAGACACTTGTGTCAATACATACACCAGCCCGCAACATATTTCTAAAACCCACTGTACATTAGTGAAATTGTATCATTTTTTATCTCATTACTTAACACATTTTATTTCATTTGCATGTTTGTGTAGTTTTATTTTTCATTAAAGTTATGTTATTTCTTCCCAGTAATTTTATATCGTTTTCATTAATACCTTGCTTTTATAATGAGTCAAATGTCTTTTCAAATTAACAAAAACTAAAAAACTTTTTTCACCATATTGTTTTTTTTTTCTTTCCATCAGTTCAACTACTATTTGTAGATGGCCTATTGTTTAATAGACACTTCTAAAACCTGTTTATTCATATGGCTGGTTTTTATTTTAGGGTTTTGTTAGTCTATATGTAAGCACTTTTGAGAATCCTTTATAATGGTGTTAAGTCAACAGTAACCAAAAATTTAGATCTCTTCCTATTTAGGTCAATTAGTATTTTTTTTAAGTCATCCACTGATTCTGATATTAGTAAAATGTTATCATCATTCTTTTATATTATTCTTTCAAATATTGAACACTTAATTTCGATAAACTAAGATAAAATGTTAAAGTTCAGAGGAAAATGAAAAAACTTTATTTGTCAAGTAAATAAATTTTGTTAATTTTCCAATGACACAATCAATTCTCTCTCCGGCCTTCTTCTTCAGATGATTGGAATTCCAAACTCTTTATTTCGTTCACCAGGTAGACACAATCAATTTTCTTTCTGGACAAATCCATTTGCTAATAAGAGTTTCATAAACAAATTATATAAATTTATTATGAAAATGCTTTTCAAGTATAATTTTAATAGCCTTCCATATTCACAACATTTCGGCCATTGTACGCCTTCTTCAGATGATTGGAATTGTGAACTGAACCCTTTATTTCATCCACTAGAGTAGACACAATCAATTCTCTCTCTGGACAAATCAGTTGCTAATAAGAGTTTCATAAACAAATTATATAAATTTATTATGAAAATGCTTTTCTAGGATAATTTTAATAGCATTCCAAATTCATAAAGAATCTTCCAAATTCATATAGAAGGAGATGCTGAAAAGTTCCTGGACCAATCAACAAGTCCTTCCCTCCAAAAGTTCTGATATTCTTCTTCATCAGATTTTAAAGAGAGTTGCAAGCTGGTATGGCATGAAGAAATGATCTTCTCTGTAAGACAATTTGAATTTTATTCTGATATCTTTTTCTATTGGATTTTTATTTTTTATCTGATGAGAAAGAAGCATTTATTTTATTATGACAAAGAGGAAGAATGAAAAAAAAAAAGCTATTAATCATGAGACAGGATTTTTTTTTTATTCGATAAGGAAGAAGCTTTATTCTATTATGTATGACAAAAGGAAAAATGAACGACTCTGGTAATTTCTGTATTTTTTTTTTACAATGATATTCACCCGGTACAAGGCCCAAGAGCCACTCAAGGTAGAGGGTTAAATTGTAAGAGGCACTACCCAAGCAAAGTGATAATGCCACCAAGATGCAAGGATACACTGGAATTGAAGGACAAGGGAGAAACTTTAGAAAGAAACTGGAACCCCAATCGTAAACAGGAAACGAGAGATAGAGCCTCTACCTTTTATTTGCAAGGGGGTGTAAACTGGACGATAGGCAAACCTATCTACTGCTGTTAACGAAGAAGAAAAACTGAAAAAAATAATTGATTAAATAGAATTTCAGGGTTTACGTGGAGATTTTAGAAGTATAGAGTTGAAATCATCTATTAGATTGAATAAATCTAGCAATTGTGTGGAATTCAAATGCACATTCATTATTCTGTTGAGATTACAAGAGAATCTATAATGCATGTGCACACCCAAAGTTTTTTTTTTCTTAATTCACTCTTGTCACCAAAATGGTGAGTAGATGGCAAATAAAAAATAAATGCAGCCTCAGGACAAATATTTTGTTTGTAGATAAAATCTTTCTTGGGAATCAATCAAGATAAACATCATAATAAGAAATAAAATTTAAAAACAAAAGACATTGAAATAAAAAATGTTAACTTTTAATTTTTACATTTTGCAATTGATTACTCATTATTTTTCTCCACACTACATGCTCCAATCTTATGGCCTTGTACCTGACTAAGCTTAGTAAGTACATATTTGTTTTTTTATTGTTACCTACACCTAAATTACCTATTTTATATAAACTCACTGAGTTTTAAGAAATTAGTGACACTTTTATTGTTGATGTATGGAGTGGAGAAATGTAAAATCTTAGAAACTCAACAAAAATCAGAGAAAAAAAGAAAAATATACAAAAATGAAAGCTAAATTAGTCAGAACTTTTTGCTTGACCTTGTTACTGACTACAAATATTTTTTTCTTCTTCACGGTGTAAAATTTTAATCCAGATTCCATTTTTTGTCTTCAGTTGTGTAGCTTTTGCAAATTCAATCTTCTTCTAGAATGATAAATAGAAAGAAAAAAATGAGATAAAATATAATATTGTGGATCAAAATTTATTTATCAATTTATGTAATTTTATTTCAATTCTGTTATTTTATGGCATCTCTCAGCTTATCATTTTATTTCACCTGTGAGGTTGTCATTTTATTGCTGTCATTAAGGCTGTCATTTTATTGCACCTTTCGTGAATCTCAGCCTGTCATTTTATTTCGTGGCACATTCAGCCTGTCATTTTATTGCACCTGTGAGGACATTTTTATTGTGAGGCTGACATTTCTCATATCTCAGCCTGTCATTTTATGGCATCTGTGAGGCTCTCATTTTATTGCTCCTCTGAGGCTGACATTTCATGGCATGTCTCAGCCTGTCATTTTATGGCATCTGTGAGCATCTCATTTTATTGCTCCTCTGAGGCTGACATTTCATGGCATATCTCAGCCTGTTATTTTATGGCATCTGTGAGGCTGTCATTTTATAGCACCTCTCAGCCTATCATCATGTAACAATTCTTAGGCTATCATTTTGTTTCAAATCTCTGACAGGTCCAAGATCATAAGTAAACTTCATTATTCCTGTTTTTAGACAAACAAAATTTTTCTAGTCTAATTTGGTAAATTTTAACATCAATTTTTGAAATTCAATTATTCTACCAAATTTATCAACGTCAAAAGATATCACTTGAGAGAAGAAACGGTTTTCATATAAATATAAAGATTCTGAAATTAACGGCCAATTTTCATTAAATCTGCTTTTCTATCAAAATATAAAAGTTGTAACAGTAAAATGTCATCTTTACTTTATAAAGAAAAAAATAGTGAAGACACATTTTGACATTTGCAAGTTACAAAAAGAATGTAAAATAAATTCTATATTGGAATTTTTGGATGCTATCAACCAGATATTTACATTTTTAATTCTGCTACAGTTTAAGCAATTCATTGTCAAATACTGGTGAAATAAAAATACACTCTTGAAGAATAATCTTTGGAAAATTTTTCAAACTAGGCAATGCCAAGTAACCTTTTTAGACAAAAAGTAAAAAGAATTAAAATGATAAAAAATAGTCTATAAAAATTAGGAATTTCCTTTTTTTACAACCCTATACCAAGTTTGTATTTCCTATGAAGATGATGAGTGAAGATTAAGAATACTTACTTCAGTTTTGTCACAAGCAACAAGACGGAATTTCCTCAGCATTTGTACAACAGCCATCTTGAATTCAAGTTCAGCCAATCGCATTCCAGGACAAGTTCGTGGTCCACCACCAAAAGGAAGATAAGTGAAGGGTATTTGTTTGGCTTTGTTTTCTTCACTGAAGCTGTAATGACAAAAATATTCATCATATTTACAAACGCATTTTAAAAAAGGTCGCAAAGAATCATGAGAATTTTTTCATTGAAATAGTTGTTTTAATTTGAATTACCCTCACCAAGCTATGATTAATGAAGATTTTTGACAAAATCAAATTTAACCACAAAATTAAAGGCCTTGTTTCACTTATTATGAACAGCACCAAAAACTTAAGGCAGTAAATGATAATTATTTATAAAATAGGAATTGATGTTTGGTAAAAGTAGATTTTGTATTTACAATGAAGACAACATTTTTTTGATAGCTACAAACATGTATTTTTTGAGTTTATTCTATGAATTGAATGATGAAAGAATGAACAAATAAGTCTTTTAGGATAACTTAATTTCAGAAACTCATTCATCTATAGATCAGGTGGGAAGAACCAAGAAAATGCTACCCAAACATGAACCAGGCCATCATCAACCCCCAGCTGAATGTAGAAGGTGCCCAGTTTTTTTTCTCTACCTGATACACCCAATAATCCAAGGAAACATCGCAAACATGAACCAGGCCATCATCAACCCCAGCTGAATTATCTGATTGTTGCAAGGGCCAGTAAAATGAAAAGTGAAAGAGAGGACAAGGCAGTATATACAGTGTTGGGAGTGCGCCCCCTAGGAACAATTTGAAAAATTAGGAAATTAAGGAAAAGTTAACTCTGACTCATCCCAAGCATGAACCAAGCCATTATCAACACAAGTTGGGTTATCTGAATGTAGGAGGGGCCACTTTTTTTTTTACCTACATGAATAATTCAAGGAAACATCACTGATGCAGGTGCATTATAAGTTGTTGTGTGTGCAATGAAAGAAGTTTATTCATTTTGGATAGATTAAGAAAGGTTTCACTTTTCCTTATAATTATTGAATAAGAAAAATGAAAATCTTTCCTCTTTTAAAAAGATTAATATCCATATTTCTTATTCCTTTCTTCCTCCAGGCTACTTGCCTCACCATTAAGGTGTTTGATACTCACTGTTCAGGATTAAACTTTAAAGGTTCCATCCAATATCTGGGATCATGATGTAAACATATAATTGAAAACATCACTCCTGCATTCTTAGGAATTTTCATTCCTTTTATGATGCAATCTTCTTTTGCTTGTCTTGTCAGCCTAACAAAGAGAAACAATAATATTTGTTATGATTAAATCTAATTTCTCCAACTGGAAGCAGATTATAAACAAAAGATTTTACAAGTATAGATATGTACAATTTAAACAATAAATTTAATTGTAGATTTTACAAGTATATTTGAATGCATGTAGACACAAGTAATTCCTATATAAAACACACAATGTTTTTTATATCATTAATACATGTAAAAAAAACATTGGTATGTAGACACAAGTATATCATTCCAATATTTAAAACCCCACATGCAAAAGAAAAAACAATATGTTAGAAAAAAACCCCCCCATACATGTACAAAAGAAAACATCAGTATGTAGACACAAGTATATCATCCTATAAAAACACAATATTTACAAACCCCATACATGTACAAAGAAAAACATCAGTATGTAGACACAAGTATATCATCCTTAAAAACACACAATATTTACAAACCCCATACATATGTACAAAGAAACCCCATAAACATCAGTATGTAGACACAAGTATTCCTATAAAACACAATATTTACAAAATACATACATTATCATCAAAACCCCATACATGTATGTAGACACAAGTATATCATCCTATAAAAACACACATTTTACAAACCCCATACATGTACAAAGAAAACATCAGTATGTAGACACAAGTATATCATCCTATAAAAACACACAATATTTACAAACCCCATACATGTACAAAGAAAAACATCAGTATGTAGACACAAGTATATCATCCTAAAACACACAATATTTACATATAAAACACACAATATTTACAAAATCCCATACATGTACAAATGTAGACACAAGAAAACATCAGTATGTAGACACAGTATGTAGACACAAGTATATCATCCTATAAAACACACAAATATTTACAAACCCCATACATGCACAAAGAAAAACATCCTATCCTATAAAAACACACAATATTTACAAACCCCATACATGTACAAAGAAAACATCAGTATGTAACACATCCTATAAAACACAATATTTACAAAAACCCCATACATATTATGTATAACCCCCCATTTACAAATGTAGAAAACATCCTATAAAAACACACAATATTTGTAGACACAAGTATATCATCCTATAAAAACACACAATTATTTACAAAAAGAAAACATCAGTATGTAGACACAAGTATATCATCCTATAAAAACACAATATTTACAAACCCCATACATGTACAAAGAAAACATCAGTATGTAGACACAAGTATATCATCCTATAAAAACACACAATATTTACAAACCCCATACATGTACAAAGAAAACATCAGTATGTAGACACAAGTATATCATCCTATAAAAACACAATATTTACAAACCCCATACATGTACAAAGAAAACATCAGTATGTAGACACAAGTATATCATCCTATAAAAACACACAATATTTACAAACTCCATACATGTACAAAGAAAACATCAGTATGTAGACACAAGTATATCATCCTTAAAAACATACAATTTTAAAACTCCTATAAAAACACATATTTACAAACAAAGTATGGTTTATTAAATTGCCAAGTTGTCCCATTTTTTTCCCAAATGAAATTCAAAATGAAATTCAAAAGTTCAAAAATGATTGCCTTTTACTTCCTGATCTGAAGCCATTACAGTTTTTATCTTTAATTTTGAAGACCTGTTCTGAAAGCCATAATTTGTAATTTGAAAAAAAATATGATCCTTACAAGAGATGATTGGTGAATAAATATATGAATGGTTGTTTGTAGATGATGCATTCGTATCATAAAAAAATATGTCCTTGTGTTTGAATATCATGCTACTTAAGTTTTTTTTCTTTACTTCTTTTTAAATGTTAGGAAAGATTTGCTTTTAATTGTATGTCTAAAACAGGGGCTATTTTTTTTGGTGGGGGGACCCAAAGAAATGCCATAAAGGACAAAATATAGTACCTCAATGATCCGCTGGGTCACAGAGTAATTTGGTTGCCTGCTGGAATTGTTATCAGTATAGTACCTCAATGATCTATAAAAAAACAGTTTATTTTCTATTTTGCTATGAAATTTTGCAGAACTTACGTTACAGCAACTGGATACATTCGCAACGTCTCTTCCATACACATCTGAAGATATGTCAGCTTCTGCACGTTATCATAATTTGGAGATTCCTAGAAAGAGACGAAACTATCACTGCACATGTAAATTCTATTTGCTTCAAAAGTAGATCATAATTCAAGGGTCATTTTGTTCCAGGTAATAATGAGTGATCTTGCCACTATAAAGAAATATATAATTTATGAGATGATAATGATTTAAATCATCTGCAACTATGAGGGATATTTGTGGGGGGGGATTCTTGTTTGATCTGAAAACAACCAATTTGGTCTATAAGTATTGATAAAGTTTTAGTGCAAATTTAGACATTTGGAAAATTCATTGATAATCAAAGGAATCTTTTAGAATTAGAAAATTCAATAAATAAAATCCTGATTCTTTAATTTGGAAAAGGATCTCTGGAAATAAAAAGAGACAAGGATGAAGAAACAGCCAAGTTCTAAAGAATCCAGATTTGGTTAATTAAAAGTTTTGACCTGTCCAAGTTTTTCTTTTTTATTTCTTGGCAAAGTTTCTCCTGAACATCAGGGTTCATTGCTATTGAGTGAGCAAAGAAGGACAAGGTGGATGCTGTAGTGTCAAAGCCAGCCAAGAAAAAAAACATGCATTGTGCAATGATTTCTACATCTGTAAGACCTGCAAAAAATAAAGGAAAATTCAGGAAGAGCCCATCAAATGACATCAACAAAAAATACAAAGTGAAATTGTTGAAAGTAAAGTTGTTCAAGTAGTAAAGGCATCAGTTTAACCAGTTTTGACAATAAAGAAACATGTTTGCATAAAGTTTGAATATTTCTTCTTGATCTGTTTTTTTAGAAAAAAATGGAGAACTTGAAAGATGTGAAGGCAACAATTCTAGTCTTTCTATATCCGTTCTTATTGGAAAATAGGATTTTGTCAATTTACATTTTTTCACTCGGAACATTTTGTTGAAAGTCATCCTTGAATATGTCAGAAATTAAATTTATCAAGAAAATGACATATGATCACAATTCTTAACTCTAACCACTAAAATTATATTCAAAATTCTAGACACACACACACACAATGTTCACCTCAGATTAGGTAGTTTTTTAGTTTATTGTTTTTGGCAGGCAACCAAATTGATAAACAAATATTGGAAGCTCCAGTCATAAAAACAATAAAGTTTGGAGATGCTTTTTTTTTTTAAAAGAACAGACAGGAAATGTTTTTTTATTAATTAGAAGGAGAAAAAGATTAAACATTTAAACTGGCTTTCATTTAAAACTTTGTCATTTTTTTTTCCATATTTTATTCTGCATTTTTACTTGAATCTTAATAACATTACATAACATTAACTCATAAATAAAGGTCTGAGAACATCTTTTTGTCCCAGGTAAAATCAGGTCACCTTGCCAGTGAATGATGTTTAATGATAACCAAACTGCCTTTACCTCTTTTTGTTCTCCAGTCTGTTATATTTTCCAGTTTGAGTTCTTGTTCAATTTTCTCGTCCAACTTTTCATGGCCTTCAAGTTGAGCATCCAACATCAGTTGCAGCAGATCTTTACGTGTCTGAAATTTTAAATAACACAATCCAAAAACATGGAAAGCAAATATTTCTTTCACTCTTATGGCATAACCTCCTTCATTTTAACATGTCTCAACAGATCCATTGCTTTTGCAGTAAATGATGTAACAATACAATTTCTCATAGATTCTTAGGAAATAAGTAGATAAATTTGCTTTCCTTTTAAGCTAATTTCTTTATTAGGGTTTCCGAGGAATTTTGTCTCCAGTTCATCTTTGAGTCAATTTAATTGCCATAGTTTTCAGGATTCCTGTCTCCAGTCCACATTTGAATTGCAAACATAAAATTTTGTTAATGATTTTCAATAATCATAAAAGCAGAGTCCTTTGAAAAATTGACCACCCATCCAGCTTTTGGGTGGTCTGCTTTTCTGGAATACAAATGGACAGATAGGAGGGTGGGTTCCCAGCCAGTATTCATATAAGCAGGAAAATCAGCAGTAAGTGACCAGCAGCCAGGAAGAGACCAGAGAGCAGTAAGAAATCAGCAGTCCACTTTTCGAAGCTGAAGGAAGAATACCATGATTAAGTGAGAAATCATGTTGCTATTACCCAACCAGTGTCTTACAAAACATTTGTTGTTATTCTTTGTTGAATTTGATCACAGAGACAAACCTGTGAATATAGTGAGTTGGGTATATATGCAGACACAACTGACCTTGGATGTCATCACAATTGTGCAGTGAATGATATGTGGATTATGTTGTCACAATGATAACCTCATATGTCTTAGAATTGCACCACTTACAGATTATGCAAATATTCACTTGCACCGAAATGAACAAGTACAAGTACAAGCATGACACAGTAGCCTCTAGCCTGTCATGTAGATATTAGTTGAATTTTGATCTGACATTTTCAATAAATATTTGGTCAATGTGACTAATAGTCACTTATGACAAGGAACAAGATTGTTGAGAAATATTTTTTGAATAAAAAAAATGCTTTTATCCTTTGGCTATAAATTCATTGATATACCTACATATATTTGATGAGGCAGTGAATATACTTACACTTGTGTTTTTCTCTTTTTTTCGTTCTTCAACCAATTCCTTGCAAAAATCAACAAAGTAACCCATGTTCCCAAGTATAATGCCAGGTTTAATCTTGTTTAACATTTTTCCAAGCAAAGGAAATATGGCTGCAATGAGAGAAAATATACGAAAGATTAAATTCCTTTGTTCTATAGAATGACATGTCAGGTTAATCCCTCCTAATTTTTGAAACTGCTACTAGGGGACACTCTCTGGACTATAAATACTCTGTGATATTTTTTCTCACTCTCTTCTTACGTTACCTGCTTATTCATCAACATGTAACCTCTCATGGAGAAAGTGCTTCCCATTAGGAACTGCATGAACAATACACACACGTACATATGAACATTCACTGACTACACATACACTAGACCAAAAAGTTTTTCACATTCATTTGTTACACACGCCATTGTCTTTGTCACTTGTGTACCTTCATTGTTAATACATTATCATTTGTTTGTACATATATATTGGTTCTTGCCATTTCTTTTATTTTTTTTTTCTTGAACTCATATCCCAAGTCCACTATTTTGTTGTGGGTATTTCAGGAGAAAGCATGTTATTCCCAATTTCAAACACTGATGATACTAACACCTACAACAAGTTGGGGACAGCATAATCGGCTTGCAACACATGAAATAAGAAAATGATGAATAAAAGCATAACAAATTTTTGTTCCCTCTTTTTGTGACCATGTATTAAACTCACAACTCTTTGGATCAAGTCACTTTTTGGATCACTCAACCAACGTGTTTATCCACTTGGCCATGTGTCCTTGGTGACATCAGTGAGTAACATTTTTTACCAGAGCTCATATTACAATTTTTTGTTATTATTGTTTTTTTTAGCTCTGTATATATATTGTATTCAAGAATGCTAGTTTGTTATTGTTTTCTCTCTCCATTGTGAACTGTATCAATGGTTTATTGAGTTCACATGACGTAGTAGTAGCTAGACCTCTTTCAGAGTATGAAGGTGTCATCTACGTATCTTAGCCATAGAGTTGGCTTTAGTGATGTTGATCTTAATGCCATTTTTCAAAGTATTCCATATATATGTTAGCCATTGCTGGTGATAATGGCAAACCCATTGCTAAGCCTTCATCCTGTCGATATATGTCTGATCTCATTCCAAAGTATGTTGTTTGTGTACAGAAAGTCAGCATCTCCATCAGCTTATACTATTGGTATACTAGTACATTCTTCTAGAGATGAGTTTGAAGCCAGTCTGTCTCTGATTACTGATAGTACCTCAACTATGGGTACCTTGCTGAACAAACTCATCATAGCCTGGCTCACTATCTGGTTGGATTGAATGGGAGCATTTTTTTTTATTATTTCCACAATGCATTAATATCTAAAACGGAGCATGGGTTCAAGACATACACATATTGCTAGCTAACATTCATCAGACAATACCTCAACGTCAGCTCTCACCACTGATACAGTGTAAAGAAACATCAAGAAAAAGTCATAAGTGGCAACCCAGTGACATATGGACAAGAAATGGTTAGTATCAGCAGTACCCTAAAACATAACAATTACCCTGGGTATATGACAGCAGCCCACAAACTGGGATAGAAGGGTACAAGATGATGTATTCAGAAAACAGTTTCAGTCTGCCTACCCTATGTGAAGGGATTATTGGAAAAGATATGATGACAGTTAAAACATCCACAATAGAATGGAATGGAGTCCGTTTCTACTAAGGTGATCAACTATGTCTTTCTTGATAACAGACTCACAGAGCTTTCTACCAACATAAAGGAGACTAATAGTGCAATATTGCATATGGGGATAAATGTTCTCCAGTATTCTTGAAAACATAGCAAACAACTTACAATGTCCGGTGACTTTGGAAACATTTCTCTTTCAAGCCACAGTTAAACAAATTGAAACAAGACTAATATTATTTGGACCACTAGCATTCTCAAAGTCAATGTTTTTGATGTGTTTGGAAAATTCCTAAGCCATAAGAGTGAGATCACAAATTAGAGGTGAGAAGTTATGTAGAGGATGGTCAGTGGCGAAATGGTCCACCAAGATACCAGGAAATTTTACAATGACCCCAGAGTGATGACCCATCAATTTAGAAATAACCGAAAAAAGTAAAAACTAAAAAAAAAAAAAAAAAAAAAAAATTTATGTTGGGAAGATTTAAATTAATTCTTTGAAGCTACAAATTCTTTTAGTAGATAATAAGATTATCCTCAGTTCCTTGTTTGATGAAGCATTTTGGTATTAAGTAGGTCCTTTCAACTGGGCCATTTTACAAGTTTTCCCATAGAAATTTATGACCCAGTCTGCTATTGGTCTTAGTCTTCCTGTGTGGAGTTTGAGGCAAAGTTTATTACAAAGTACTTAGCCTTATCCAATGAGAATGAAATAACGTAAGAGTCACTAAATATCGTAGGCACTAATGATTTGCTTCTGTCAAGAATCTTGTTTGTAATTCTCCAGAATTTGCAGGATCCAAGTTTTTCATTGTCACTTCTAGCTTAGATTAACTGACCAGAGGATTTTTCAGAAGGTTTTTGAAATGGCTATGGGTAGTTCTGAATGCAGCATGACTCTCGCGGTGATGGAAGATAGACATGTTGATTACAGTAAGTTATTGCCTCAGCACATTCAAGGCTGACTGTTCAGCAGTTCCTGATATTTCCTGAAAGGGATGAAACTCTCAATACCAGAATGGATCCACTCAGAAATGAGAAAAGCTATTCTCAATGCTTTATTTTTTAAAGAATATTGAGAAAAGAGCTTCAGCAACAAAAGATCTGAAGCTATTCCAGACATTTTTGGATTATCAAAAAACCGTCCAATGAAATGAGGAATCAAAGGATTTGCTTGACTTTGCTTATAGAATGTTGGCTGTGATAAGATGTTTCTATGTTACTTCTGACTTACTTGACAATCCTGGTATTGATCTGAAAAAGTCACCAGCAAAGACTTTTCGAGCATTTTTAACAATAGGGCTGTCAGGATCTTCCTGTGAATCAACGTTAATTCCAAACCCAGTTGATGCAATCACATCCATTGTATAACCCGAAAACAAACTGTGAAAAAAAAGATGAAAACAGAAAAATATTATTTTACATGGAAAATAAAAAGTAATAATTCTCTTGTGGTTGGTTATTGAAAAAAAGCATATACTTTTTAAATTCTAACTCATTTGTAGCACAATTTACATTCTTACAAAAGGAGGGAAAAATTACTTGTTTGGAAAATAGATGGTACCACCTTTAATACTACAACATAATTCTTTGATTGTGTATGAGGTCCACCAAAAGGAAAAAGGAATGACAAAATCTTACTTATTATAAAACGCAGATTGTCTGTGTGTGTGTGTGTGTGTCTGTACGTTTATATATTGGATTGGATTTCCTACATTTTTCAACCGATTTCAACAAAACTTCACAGGACTGCGTCAAATTACCTTGTGGTGGTTCTGACAGTGCCAAAAATTGGAAAAACACAATTGTTTTTGCACAAAATCAATTTGAAAACACAATAAAACACGATTCTGTCGCCAGAATGAAAGGGGGACAACTCATATCAAGTTATACTTATTATAAAACCCAGGTTGTTTGTGTGTGTGTGTGTGTGTTCGTTTATATATGGGATTCCATTTACAAGACAATTGTTTATAATAAAATTCTATTCAATCGGTAGACTCATAACGATTGAAAACAATGTTTTTGTTTGAGTTTGGGTTTGACTAATTCGTAAAAAAACCCCAAAAAAACAAAAACAAAAACTAATTAAGACATCCGTGTCCGTCAACCTTAAACAATAATCTTTGTCAATTTTATTTTTCAGTCTTTATGATGGTTGATACTTGATCTATCTCTTACTGTTACATCCCCGGGCAACGCCGGGCTCTACTGCTAGTATTATATAAGACTAGAAGATGAAGTCATTAAAGCACTTCTCCTAACCTTGATCCTATTCATATATACAAATCTACTTGTAACCTTAATCCTGAAAGAAACATATCTCAATAGAGCAAGAGAGAATGAAGATATTCACAGAAAAACAAGATAGGGCATAGTAGTTGATTGATAACTTGTTAATATCACACAGAACTGAAATTAAGTGACATATACTGATGAATAATATTTTAATGCCTTTTCATCTTGTTTATAATTAGGCTGCATTTGTTTACAATAGAATAAATAGTTATTTTTAACAGGATGGTTGTGTTATTTTGCTACAATTCTTTAAGGCTAATTTTGTTTATTTATTGATTGTATGGATGCAGAAATTATTGCTGATAAGTGTTTATTTTATATTGCTCAATTATAAAAATAATGTGTGCTGTACCATGTCCCCACAAATATCACTACCAATAAAACCGTTTTTCCCTCTTTCATACATTATGTACTACTTGCTGTTTTCATGTGTTATTTATCTGTGTGAGACAGACTGTGATATATATATATATATATATATATATATATATATATAATTATTTAAAAAAAATAAATAATTGGAATTTAGGCTCTACTTATGTATTGAGCATTGTTTTTTAAAAATAAAAACAAAAATAGTAAAGACCTTTGGATTATTAACCTAACGGTTCTTTCCTATTTTTCTATATATTTGCACACACACACACACACACACATACATATACACACATATAGTAAAGGTAAAATAAATCCGTGGTTATATAATCCGTGTAGATCCTAGTAATATAAAAATATTAAAACTGATCCACAAAAGAGAGCTCAATGTATTTTATTTATACAGAGAAAATGTGTTTGAAAAGGCAGACTGTCAAAATAGTTTATTGCCCACATGAGGTAAAAAGATTTTGATTATTTATACACACACATTTTTGTGTTCATATATGTTAACCAACTAGTGATGTTGTACAAGACATGTGGTAGTCTTTGAATTGGCAGATGTTAAAATATCGTAGAATTAAATTTTGGAGGCTCAACAATATTTTTCTTCATTAAAAGGAATATTTAAAAATTAGGAAAGTATATATAGCACAATAAGCTTGAAATTAATAAATCTAAATTTTAGTTTTATTCAAAGCCTACTATTTTATTATAAATATGATCACTTCTTGTTTGCTAACTAGTCTTTCAGTGATACTTTGACCAGGGTGTTTGTTCAATTGTTTTTTACACAAACGAAACTGAAATTCTCACAATTAATTACTTACATCTTTTGCATATTTATTTGAGTAAACAACATTACAAAATAATGCATAGCGATAACATGTTTACGTGCTGAAAGAGTCCTTTGCCTTCATGTGTCCGAATGCTGGAATTTCATATACACATAATGAAAACAATGTCGACCTGTCACATCTGCACACATATAGACGCATTTTAATGTATCTTATACTAATGTAATTTATTCAGTTTTACTGTAAAAATGGATATACAAAACATTTTGTGTCAAGTTGTTCGCAAAAGCATCCTTGTAATTCATTTCTTTCAATTTGAAAGGAAAATAAATAAATATTATTAAAATTTGTAGATCCGTGTTTGAAGATTAACTTAGTTCTTTGTTTATACATGCATATTCTGCTATATATATATATATAAATATATATATATATATATATTCTGTGGTGGAGTAAATAGTACACTCCTACTGACTACATGAACTTATCCATTACTGTAAAGACCTCCAAGACAGAGGTAAGACTTGTAGCTGTTTGGAGTCAGTCTCCAGACTAACTGTACAGATATTATGGCAAGTAACTGAAGTATTACGTATAGAGAATACTTATATGAAGTATGTTATATAATGTAAGACTGCGTTATAACAATAGCCATAGAATAGTGGCAACGAAAGGATTAGAAACTCAGACGATTTGTAACTTTTGTGTTGAGGATTAGGAACTCTTACAACTTATAACCATTATAACGAGGATTTTGCAAACTAATATGAGTTGTAAATAGACTTACAAGAATTTCAATCTTGTTAGTTTAAAAAAAACAGAGAATATGGAGAAAATTTTAGCTTCTATAGTTGAAATTCAATAACAACAACAACAACAAAATCAGCAACAACAACAGAATCAATAGTTTCTAGAACTACAAAAACAACAACAGGAATTATTGGATATAATTCTGAAGAATACAAAAAATTCTTCAGCATCTCTTATGCCAGACACTGTCCAAAACACCATATCAGAATTTATATACAATACTGATGAGGGATTGACTTTTTCTGTGTATTTTCTTAAATACAAAAAAATATTCAGTCAGGAATGCAGCAGTTGGAAAGATGATGCAAAAACAAGTTTGTTGAAGAAAATAGCTCCAATAGAGTATGAAAAATATTACAATTACATTTTACTGAAAAAAAAAAACAGTTGAAATCGAGGTTGAAGACATGGTACATATTCTGACGAAAATCTTTAGTGACAAGAGATCTCTATTTAATGCTCATTGAAGGTGCTTGAATCTAACCAGGTTTCTAAAAAGAGAACAAAGATTTTGTCATCTATGCTGTTATCCTCAACAGAGAATGTGAAAGTTTTAGAATAAACAAAATAACTCCAGATATGTAAGGATTAATTTTCATGCAAGGTCTAACAGCTAAAAATGATGTTGGGACATGAGTGAAAATTTTAACAGAAATTGAACAAAAGTGTAATATTACACTGCAAGAAATAATGGATGATTGCCAGACAATGCTAAATCTGAAACATAATGCTGAAGAAATTCAGAAAAAATAATGTGCATTTGCACAAGCAAAGGTCAAATGTACAAAAAGGGGAATAAGTTCTTGTTTCAGATGTGGTAAATTATGTTTTGGAAAAGACTATCCACTTAAAAATGCAGAATGTTACAAGTGTGGGAAACAAGGACATATAAAGTCACATTGCAAAACCAAATTCCCAAAAAATCTCACAGGAACAAATTAGCATTGTGAAGGATAAAATGGTCACAGAAAACAAAAAAATTTGTAAATGTGAAAATAAATAATGTGGGGGTGAAAATGCTACTGGACACTGGCAATGATATTTCAATAATCAGTGAAACCACATGGACAGAAACTGGAAAGCCTTTATTAAAAAGGACTTCCAGTTGTGAATTCATTTTCTGGTGAAAAAAAATTTTTTTTTGAGAAATGACTTACAATGTCTCACTCTGTAATAAGCATGTAAAATCTAAAGCTTATGTATTAAGAAATGCTATGAATTCATTCAGAATGGAATGGATAGAATTATTTGAAGTTTTGGAATTGCCAATAAACGATTATTGTAAAAATGTAAGTGGACAATCAACCAATTTAAAAAGCCAGAGCAAAAATTTTAAGTAAGAATTAAAAAAATCTTTTCCAGATATTCTGTCAAATAAACTAAGTTGGTGTTCAAGATTCAAGGCAGATTTTCAAGTATAAAAAGGTTCAATGCCACTATTTAAGCTGAAACATACTGTACCATTCGCAGCATTAGAACAAGGGGTCAGGAATTGGCTGGTTAACTTTAACACCTCAAAAACAAAACTACACTCTATTACTCACCACAGAGAACCATTCCTACCCCCCATTAGAATGTCTGACACTCAATTTTTTCAAAGTTGAACAGTGGAAGAATATTTTCAAAGCTGGATCTCTGCGAGGCATATTTACAAATTCAGATTGAAAATGAATGTTCTGAATTAGCAACCATAAATACACACAGAGGATTATATAAGATTAAATGACTTCCTTTTGGTATGACATTGGCACCAGCTATTTTCCAACAAGCCATGGATACCATGCTTGTGGACTGCAATTTCATAGTGGCATATTTAGACAACATATCTTTCTGAAGCATGTTTACAAATTCAGATTGAAAATGAATTTTCTGAATTAACAACCATAAATACGCACAGGAGATTATATAAGATTAACTGACTTCCTTTTGGTATAAAGGTGGTGCCATCTATTTTCCAACAAGCCATGGATACCATACTTGTGGATTGCTACTTCACTGCAGCATATTTAAACAACGTTTTGATCAAAAGTGTATCGGAAGAACAATATGTTGGGCATGTGAAAACAATTTTGGGAAAAATAAAAAATACGAATTTAAGCTTAGTGAGGAAAAATGAATTGTTTTTGCAGAAAATTAAATACCTTTGTCAAATTATTCATGAAAATAGTAGACAATCAGATCCTTTGAGGGCAACTGCAATTAAAAATATGCCTACACCAACAAATGTGACTACGTTACAAGCTTTTTTGGACTGGCTAATTGCTATCAAATTTATGTACATAATATGCATAAGTTAAGGGATCCACTTAATGAGCTACTTAAAAATAGAGTAAAGTGAAATTTGAATGATAAATGTCAAGTTATTTGATGAAATTAAAAAAAAAAGATTTACATCTGATTTATCATTAGCACACTACAACCCCAAAAACAGAAATTGTAGTGGCATCAGATGCTAGGGAGTATGGTATAGGAGAGGGGATTTTATACAAGTACGATGGTGGTAAATTGAAAGCCTTCACTCATGCTTCATGATTGCTTCTACCAGCAGAAAAAAATTACACCAAGATCAAAAAAGAATCTCAAGCAATTATATTTGCTGTGAAGAAATTTCATAAATTTATTCATGGAAGAAATTTTACATTGCAAACAGACCACAGGCCTTTATTAACAATATATGGTTCAAAGAAAGGTATACCTATTCATACAGATAATAGACTACAATGCTGGTGTACCATCCTGTTATACAATGATTTAACAATGGAGTAGAAACCGTCTAAAAAATTAGGACATGTGGATGGATTATCTAGATTAATACCTAAAAATTCAGAACCACTAGATGACATGGTCATCACAGCACTAAAAAGCAAAATTGAAAAAAAAGATTATGTGAAACGTGGTACGAAAAGTTATCAGTGATCCTAGATGAAATAAGAGAAAAAGTGGAAAATGATGTCTTTATTGAGAAAATAAAAAGAAATTGAAAGAAAGCAACAAAGAATGAAATCTAGACAAAAATGCAATCGATAGGTGATGGTGTAGCAATGTATGGTCAAAGAGTTGTAATACTGAGTGTGTTACAGTATTGAATATTAAAGGATTTTCATTGCAGACATCCTGATCTTTCAAGAATCGATTCTCTGATGAGAAGTTTTGTATACTGCTCTGGAATAGCCCAAGATATTGAAAGAATAGTGAACGTGTTATGGGATCTTACCCATAATAATAATAATAATAATGGACTATTCTATACTTAATAAATACTGCGCCTCAGGAGTAGGCAAGGAGTCAGTAGTTCAAGTCGTGTTCAGACAATTACTGCAAGACATTTGGAATAGTGATACTGGTTGAGACTACATTGTTCTCTCTACTAAACCTGATTGTTCATACTAACACTTCTACTTCTCTGTATATATTCCTGTTTGTAAAATATCTGTGTTATTCCATACCTGTGTTTGAGTTCTTCTTTATTGGTTCTAACTTGGACTATCACCGTGGTACAAGGAACCGGACCATAACAGAAAGTATATAGAGGTTGAATATATATATATACATTTATATAAAAAGGTACTATAAATCTGAGTGGATCCAAATAATATAAAAATATTAAAACTGATCCACAAAAGAGCAGACGATATATTCTATTTATACAAAGCTATGTGAATGAATAATCAAAGATATATTTTTACCTCATATGGGGAATAGACTACTTTAGTAGACAATGAAAGTGGTCACAGGTTTTTTCAACCCCAATGTGGGGGTTCCACATCAGGGTTGAAAAAACAGGTGACTACTATTTTCCACATGAGGTTAAAAGACCTTTAGATTATTAAATCATATATATATATATATATATATATATATATATAATGGATTACATTCACTTACATGCTAATGCCCTTGGGAAAGTTATGAATCCTCTTCTTCTCCCTCTGGCTATGGATAAATAGCAGGACAGACTGGGTTCTATAGCCTTGGATGGCAACTGGTCTAGGAGAAGGACAACTCTGAATTTAAAAACCAGCAGAGGGTTGTTTTGAGGACCATGTGGCACGTAGTGCACCAGGTCTCTGTATTCAGTTCTTCAAAAAGTGTGGATGGTTTTGCACAAAACCTTCACCACTATAATCAAATCATATGGGCTGGTGTCTGGCTGTCAATTCCTAGAAACTGAGTTGCTTGATTCTCATATGTGGAATATGATGGAAGATTCCACCATATATATATATATATATATATATATATATATATATATATATATATATATAATATATATATATATATATATATACACACACACATATATATATAGTAGTTGTTGACCATCATGCTCATCGATCTGCATTTCTTGTTACATATGTGGCATATCAAATCATCTCCAGGTGGTGGAAGTTGACTTTGAACATCATCATTACCAATGTGTCTTTTTAGATGCCTTATCAGGCCTGACCTGGACTTGCACACTCTAGTGCAGATCGGGCATTAGAAGCATGCTATTATGAAATTGTCATATGCAATAGACTCTTGGTGTCGGTGTGATTTCTGATGACTGAGCAGACCCGCCTTGGACAGACATATCCGATTACATTGGGCACATGGCCAGGTTGGCACCTCATGTCAATTCAGGGAACCCTTCTGAACCCTTCTCTTCAGTCCTGCATATTTTTGTGATCCCTCATGGAAGATCTTGATGCCATCAGCAATACCAGCTCTCCAAGAAACCCAGTCTTCAGCAAGAGTCACCCAGTTATCCAGACCAATATTGCACTTGTATAGTGACTCTATACTTTATCTATATACGCAATCCTTGTAATGAAGTTTTCGTTTGTGCTGTAGCCTTTTCCCCATTTCCAATTCTCCATATATTAATTGTTTTGACATTTTGTCATCTGCCATATGAATAACATGACCTATCCATTGCAATCTGTATTTGTATGTAAATTACTTCCACAGAGAGTGAATTGGCCCTTTGTAGAACAACATTATCAAGGATGTGAGACATCCAGTAAATTTTGAGCACAGACCAAAAGCATCGTTGATGAAAACGTTCCAGTATCTTCAGATGTCTGTGATAGACTACACATGTCTCACATGAATATAGCAGAAATGACACAATGCAGACATTATATATTTTCATTTTTGCCTGCTTTTTTATGCCCTTCTGACTAAGGACACAGACCATACATGCTGCAAATGCATCAGAGTCCTTCTTAATCCACAATGCTATCTCATCATCAAGAGAGCAATGGAGGTTGAGGGTGCTAACAATGTATACAAATTTGTTTGTTGACTACCATCAGCATGAATTGATAGCTCTATATACTGAATTCCTCGGGAAGGTTGATACATCACCACTGTCTTGTCAAGGTTGATGGACAGTCCAAAAGCCTTACATGACCCTGATAGTTGATCCATGAACTCCTGTGTGTGCTGAATTCTGTGTGTGACCAGGTCACAGTCATTGGCATAGAGAAGGTTTCACACTAAACTAAAAAAGACTTTTATCTCTGCTGCAAACCTATGCATGTTGAAAAGCTTGCCAGTTGACCTGTACCTTATCATAATACCATCATGGCAGTCCCTGAACGCATCAAGCAGTACAATTTCAAAGTAGACAGAAAACAGTGTAGGAACCAGAAGATCTCTCTGCTTGAATCCATTTTCAACCTTGATGGGCCCCATAAACATGTTGCAAAAACTGACACAGGCTTCCATACTGTCATGAAAGGACCTCAAAATCTTGAGAAAGTGGAGGGGACAGCCCAATTTTGAGAGGATTTTCCAAAGAGCAGCATGATTAACAGTGTCAAAAGTCTTCCTCAGATCTACAAATATTTCAATGTCTAATTGTTGTTAAATTTTGGGGGGATTTGTTTTGGTCACTTATTAAATATTTTGTTTTGGTCTGGGAAGATAAAGCTACATTAATAAAAAATTGAAAACTGAAAAAAAAAAATAAATAAAAAACAAGTAAAACAAATTAACCCAAATAAATAAATAAACAAGCCACTCCCACCAAAATAACAGCCCGAATGGATTACCCATAATCCACCACTGACTCATATATATAAATAGTCGAATAGTCGGCCTGATGATTTCATCTAGCATGAAACAGCCTGTCGCTTCTGAGTGTTGACTTCAATGTTCACTTTTATATTTATATTTATATATATATATATATATATACTTATCATACATAAGTATATGAGAGTATAACTGACACTTGTATAACTATCTATTATGAGTAAATGTGAGAGTCTAACTGATGCAAAAAATAGTTGAGTACTGATGATATCAGGAACAATGTAGGGCAAGGATAGAGCCCTCGGTAATAATTGCATTAATGCAACAAGATCTAGAAGAGTGGCCATTCAAGACAACTTTCATTCCATGATTTGATAAGAAAGACTGAATCAGTTCAAAAATTTGTCCAGATTTTTCAACATGTCAAATTCTGTCAAATGACTTTGAGATATCCAAATCAAAAGCCCAACCATCACAATTTTTATCTAAAGTTCGATAGACTCTTTCAGCAGTAATCATTAATACATCAATATTTGGCATAGAGAAGCAAAAGCCATATTGCTTATGTGAAAGAACATCCATTTACAGACTGCACATATTTACAAAATGACTCACACAGTGGCATCAGTCGCTTCCTTGCTGTCTGCAATCTTATTTAAGTTTTTTTCAAAAGTTTTCAGAACATCTTCAATCAAGGGAACCATCTGGAATGAAAAAAGAAAAACGTATAAAATTTATGAACATTTTAATGGAGTCTTTTGAAATTTATTTAAAAATGCCATTCAGGTAGAATTACATTATTTATTTTCATGTTTCTTCCATTTTAATTTAGATGCCAACTACTTTTCTGGTAATGTCATTCTTTATTCTAAAATATCCATCAGGAATACTGAATTATTTCAAAATGTAACCAGAGGAAAAGATCAGTTATTTTCATCTTTCTTTCATCCAATGTGTCTTAGTTGGTGCTCATTGGATAATGTCATTCATTACACTTAAATTCTCATCTGGGATAATGAGTTGCTTAAAAATGGTACTGCTACTCCTGCAATAATGTTGTGCTGGTATAATGAGTTTCACAGCTCGCAATGTATTTAGGATATTTTTTTGAGAGGAATTCAAAACTGACATTATCGTTGAAGAATTTCTGATAACAATACCCAGCAAATTATTTATTTCCAAGCTAGAAACCTTTCCATTGCAACTAAATTCTTCAATGACACATTATATGAATTAATGCAGTTCAGGAATCAGCTTTGACCTGTGATTGACATTAGCCATAGAGATATAGTACAAAACATACCCCATGAAAAAAACACATTTATTGATCAACCAGAGGAGTTGAATTAAACCTATTTCTGTGATCCTTATTTTATGTTTTTAAGTAACCACCAACTAAGAAAGGCCATCTGAATTCCAAGACAGTAACTACATGTCATTGCTTTGGGCACAAATAACAATTCCTTCCTTCCTTTTTCTTTTATTTTTTTAAAAGAATCAGTTTATCACAAAGATTTTGCTTCAATAATCCTAATTTATTTTGCTCAATTTATTCTACAAAAAAGAGGATAAACATCACTGCAATTGTAAAAAAACAAAAAACAAACAAAAAATATATGCTGTTGGTTTGTAGTAAAGGTTTAAAATATAAAACTAAGTCTTCAGCTACTTATAAAGTTTGCAAAAACTGTATTCAGTACCAGTGATAACAGAAAAATAATAGACAAGGTATAATTTGTGCAGAGAGCTACCCACCCCACATTGACTGAATCAACTTTATTTCTTTGTTATTGTATTAAACTAGATGTAATATTGCTACCAGTGTCCAACTGAAAACTCACTGTAGCATTATTCATTTTTAGTGTTGCAAATTTTCTATTATTTGTACTTTCCAGGTTTTTAGTTGGTAGCACTACTTTCAGCATTAACTTTAATTTCTGTATTTCTTTTGCTTTTTGACTTGTAGTAGCTTCGTTTCTTCCATAGTGCATTATGCTCATAAAAGTAGTCATTAACTGGGAAGTTTGCACTGGGAAGAAAAAGTTGTTTTTTTTTTTCCTAATAGCAGTATGCCATACACACTTTGAGTTCATCGACTTCTGCCAAGTCCTATAAATATATATGAACCCCACAAAATTGTTTACCATGAATTTTAAATTTTCTTTATCTGCTATTTATGATAAGCAGGAGAAAAAAGAATTTCTTTTTTATTTTTCATGTGAATTTGAATTCTCATCACCACTGTTATGTCTTCATTCTATTGAATAAAGATAACATAATCATGAAATATAATGTCGTTTGGGGGTCGATGCAGTCTTACTGAATTCTGTTGTAAAGATACAAGGCTCACTTCTGGCGAGCCCTGCTGAAGATTCTCTGTGTCAGTATATATGTTATTTGGATAAGTTCAAGTCATATTCTGGAGAGGTGTGTATATCTCCACAAAACTGACACTTTGATAAAAATGAAAGTAAAATTAATTCCAGCATTAACTTTATCTCAGTGAGATAACCAAACACCAAAATAGAAATTTAGCAACAAATATAACAATGACTGTAGAGTGGTTAAATTGAATTCTCAAATAGAAAAGACATCTTTATTAAAAAAAAAAAAAAAAAAAGATTCAAATGTAGCAAAAGTCATGACATTAGGAATCAGTGGCCTAGAATTACCCTGAAAACATTCTATTGTCATTGGCAATTGAGAAAAAAATAGATCCATGCATTAATAAATAAAATATAATATATAAATAAAAAATAAGCAAATTAATCCAATTCCTGCAACAAGGGATCAAGAGGATTTCTTTAAAAAATAAATAGGTAAATATGTTACAGACCTCACGCATTCTTTTCGAACTGTAAGATGGTGCCAAAACAGTACGAAGGTATTTCCAATGGTCATCTCTTGCAAAAGATAACATGTTTGCACTGTACTCATTACCAGAAATGGAAAACTGTTAAAGAACAAAAATGTATGCTTAAGGGAAAAAAGTAATATGAGGACACATGGCACAGTGGATAAACAGTCTACCCCAGTGAGCAAAAAGGGTTCAGTTCAACATTCCAACCATCTGAAGAAGGCCGGAGCATACAATGACCAAAACATTGTAATAAATATGGCGACAAAGATGAGGACAATAGTCCGAATAATGTAAATTCATTTTTGTGCTGGTTAATGTTTATATTAATTATATGCAGAAATCATTAGAGAATTTAAATCATCAATTTTTTGTAAAACAAGATCTCCAAGTTAATTAAAGTCGGCACTGAATTGTAAAATAAAAAATTAGAAAAGCTTTTAATTATACTTTTATGAATAAGATATGTTATGGACATTAACTACATTTATGTTTACATTAAGATACGTTTCGAGAACAGATATGATCGAATGAGAAAAATCATTGAAGATTGTGTGTTTAAAAACAGTATTTTGGACTTTGCTAACCAAGCACTTCTCTGTACCTAAATGATATAACACGTCAGATAAATTGACGGTTCCCGTACAGCTATGTCAGAGAATGTATATTTTTGATGAAATTTCTTGAACATTCAGACCAGTAAATATAATACAGTTTAATTAAAAAACAGAGCATTTACTTAAATAAACTGTATCTATAAAAATAACATATCAATGGAAAATATATTAAATAATTGGCACACTTAATCCACTTCATTATATATATCTGTGTGTGTGTGTGTGTGTGTGTGTGGACATAAACCAAATTTTTGTTTGTAAAGTAGGTTATCAAAAGTAAATAAACATTGCATGGTGATTAGCTGGCATACTTTTACGATTTTTTTGTAGAGGTAATTTAATTTTTGCTTTTGTTATGTGTTTTTTTTTTTTTAGTAGATTCAAGCATTTCTCCATAGGAATGTTTGTGTACAGAGATTTTATGTCTAAACTAGCCAATTATTTGTTTTTAATGTCTATGTTTTTTAATTTGGTTAGGAGGTCATCTGAATTTTTTTATATGTGATAGACAAAAAGATCCAAGGACTGGGGTAAAGATTTTGCCTAGTGTGCTGGCTACTTTCTGTGGGGCACTGCCTATCCTTGATATGATAGGTCTCATACATACATACACACACACACATATATATATATATATATATATATATATATATATATAGATAGATATATATATAACAAGTACTATGAGTGCGAGTGATATTTGAAGGCATCTGACACCAGCATTGTTCAACGGTGTTACTATAGTTGTATCTGCAATTACAAAGTCTCTACTACAACAAGCATTATGAAAGTGGCAACAAGTGTTCATTGACATCACAAATATATATATATGTGTACATACATACATATATATACGCATACATACATACATATATATACGCATACATACATACATATATATATGTGTACATACATACATATATATACGCATACATACATACATATATATATACACACACATATATATACATGCATATACATGTTTATTATATATATGCATACATACATACATTTTTTTTTACACTTTGCGCAAAAATCAAAGGCATGACTGACTTATTTACATTCAGTGGGTACCCATTATTAGTTAAAGTTTTAGCAATTGTTTTTAACTCTTCATCTAATTTAGATGTTGAGCAAATCATTAGAGCTCTGTGTGTTAGGGTACTGATTAAATTTTCTTTACGTTTGTTGGGACCGAATGCATCCCACCAAATATATAATCCGCTAAAAGTTGGTTTGCAGTAAATCAATGTAATGTAACCAGATGGAGTTCTAGTTACCAAAACATCCAAAAAATATAAAGTGGAATTGGTTTCAATTTCCATTGTATAACTTTATGCCGGATGCATACCATTAGGTAAGGAAAAAATTTTTTAGCCCCCATTACATTCTCACACAGGCAAGTAGAAATGCAGGTAAACAGGTTGTTAGATTTATTAATTAAATTTAATATTTTTTGCAAAAGAGAATGAATCTTTTATGCAATATTTATTATAGTGTTCTAATATGGGTTGCAATAGTGCGGCAATCCATTTAGCAACTTTGTATTGAGCTGACCCCACCATAGACAGAATTAGTCTTATTGGAGTACCTGCTTTATGGATTTTAGGCAAACCATATATACATGATCGAATAGAGTCCAAAGGACTAATTTCGCTAGCTATGTCAAAAGGGAGGACACCACTTTTTACCCATTTGACTAATTTTCTCTGGAATCTATTTTCCAAAGTCACTGGATCATGACTATCAACTGGACCTAATTTGATAAATTTTGATGTATCATTCAAGACTGTCATCATTTTATCAACGTAATCACAATGATTAAGGACAACGACTCCTGGACTTTTGTCAGGTTTGGGGATTACTAACGATTCATTCTGATGCAGGGATTTAATAACAGAGTAGTGTTCTCTGCACCATTTAAATTCAGAGTGTGAAATGGCATAGCAGTGGGCAAGATCATTGGGTCTGGCATTAAGGTCTCTAACTTTGTTGTCAGGAACATGTTTCAGTATCCCTACTTGGGCATTAAGGATTTCAAGATCAGAAAAAAAATTTCCTCATACCTGACATGGTGGAATAGATAAATCTAATCCATGACTCACTATTGCACTTTCAATAAGAGACACTGACTGATGAGAAGAAAAATTAAGGATGCAACCATTTGGACAATATTGTTGTGAAACTGAATCAGCAACCTTTTAAAACTATGATTGTAAACAATTCCAACCAGTTACGTCCTCACTCAACAGAGCTGAAATTGAGGGAATAAATGTCACAATATAAAATATAAAAGATACATAATGTATTAAAGACTGAAAAATCAGATTAACGCCCAGCCCTTTATAAATATCTTAAAAGAAATGTGTGTAAAGGGGTTGAACTTCCTGAAGACACTTGAAGCTTGATGTGATCTTCACAGATTGTGGTAGAGTGTGTTTGTCGATGGCTGATCTAAGGAGTCACTTATCTCAATTGCTAAGGTTTAAAGATAAAATTCAGCTGGTCTTATAATTTTGCATTATTTATACACATATATATATATATATATATATATATATATATATATATATATATATATATTTTTTTATAAATATATATACATATATATATACATATATATATAATATATATATATATAAATATACATATACATATATATATACAATATAAATATATATATCATTGTCTGTATATATATATACTTATAATATATATAAAGTATATATATTATATATATATTATATATAATATATATACATATATATATAATTTGTTTGAATTATTATATATATTTATATATATATATACATATATATATATAATATTATATATATAAATATATATATATATATATATATATAAATATATAACATATATATATATATATATACATATATATATATATACATATATATATATATACATATATATATATATATATATATATATATATATATATATACATATATATATATATATATTATACATATATTATATAAAATATATTTATATATATTATATCATTTTCAATATATTTTACATTAAATATATATATAATAGGCATATTTATATATTTGTTTAACATATATAGCCAACTTTTTATAAATATATGCTATATATAGACCCCATCAATTTTTTCAAATATCAATATATCTGAACAAGACATATTTTATTATACCCTTTAAAATATATAACGGCCCTCAAACTGTTCCATATATATTTTTTCTTGGGTCAATATATTTAATTTAGATACTTTTTATAGGTATATACATATATATCGCCAATACATTATATTTTATAGCAACATAACTACATACATTATATACAGGCCCATACACACACACATACACACACATATAATAATAATACACACATACATATATCATATTTTAATACATTTAAAATATATAATTATAAAAAAATATATATATATATATTATGTTTTTAAAACCAAAATTTGAATCTTAAATTAAACTTAAAATTCAAAGTTCAGTTCCATTTTCAAGTGATGCATAATAACAATCATTTTTCACTTTGCCACATAAAAATATTCTTGTATCTTCATTCATCAAAAGATAAATATATAAAAAAATTTGAATTCTCATTCCCCACCAACTACAAATATATATATATACTATTTATATATAAATAGAGTAAATCAAATTTTTTCAAAAGTTATTCTTAGCATTGCTTGAAAATGGAACTGAACTTTAAATTTTAAGTTTAATTTAAGATTCAAGTTTTGGTTTCGAAACATAGCAACTTCTGTGTTGCAATACATATTTTTTTTAAAATAATTACAATAATATGCTCTACTGTGTACTGAGCACTATTTTTAAAAATAGATGTAAAAGAACTCATATTTCATATAAATCTATACATTCTGATATATATATATATATATATATATATATATATATATATATATATACATGCATATGTATACACATACATACAAATATATATACACATACATATATATATATATATATACACACGCATACATATACATGTATGTATACACATGCATACATACAGATATATAAACATACATATATATATATATATATATATATATATATATATATATATATATATATATATATATACATATATATATGACAATACATACATATATATATATATATATATATATATACATATATATGACAATACATACATATATATATGCACATACATACATATATATATATATATATATATACATATATAGTGGCTGTCAACTCACAAAACAAGTATGACCATCGCTGACATGTCCATTCAATCAGTTAAACTAAACCCTCACCCCACAACGCTGCATTCATTTGTTGTATGAATGACAGTGGCTCATAAAACCAGCCATCAATCTGCATTTCTTGTTACATATATGACATATCAAATCATATACTTCTCAAAGATTCATAGAATTGAGTCTTTAAAATGTTGCTACGGTCTATTGTTGGAGCGTAGGCACTAATGATTGTAGCATAATGTGATCCATTCAGATGTAGACAAAGGGTCATTAAATGCTCACTGACTCCTTTAGAATGTTCAGCAAGTTTTGGTACATACAGCGAAACCCACACCAGCTACTCTATCCTCCTCAGTGCACTTTCCCTTCCAGAAGAAAGTGCAGCCACCTCCAACTTTTTGAAGTTGACAATCATCAGCTCAACGAGTTTCGGAGAGAGTAGCTACATCTATAGAATATCTCTTTAGCTCCCTAGACTCCATAGATGTTCTGTGTTGAGGAGCAGAATTATCTACGAGAATCCGTACATTCCAACAAGATAGTTTCAGTTTCATCATTAGTATTTTTACATTTGTTTGAGCACCAAATAGACATTTGCCAAAAAGACATTGAGCACCAAACAGACAATTTTTGGGTCACCTTTTCTAGACCCTTCCAGCAATCTTCTGGTGAGCAGTGCTCTCCTTAAAAGGTCTGCTCAGATCCCACTGGAAGAACCGAAAGCCACCTCTGTCTCAATGAAAATGAGCTGGCAACTTTACATCTCCCCAGAGACTGCTAAATGTGCAGGTGAGCATTTACGCACTTCCAGCCCATCAGACATGTATGTATTGCTGCATCACCATCACCATTGGACTTGTATTGGAAAAAACAAAACATAAGCTGGCAAGTTGTCAGTAATGCCATTGTGGGTTTTAAGGTCAGATGCACCTTGCATGGCTGTATATACATATATACACATATATATATATATATATATACACACATATATATACACACACATAAATACACACATACATACACACACATGTATATACATATATACACATACATACATATATATATATACACACACGCACACACACACAAACACATAAATACACACACACACACGCACATACACACACACACATATATATATATATGAAGAAATATAGTCTTAAGGTGTGCTATACTTATGGGATAAAGTGCTCAGTATCAGAGATAGAGCTTGTGTAAATATAAAAGTGAACATTGAAGTCAACACTTAGAGACTGTTTCATGCTAGATGCAATCGTCAGGCCACAATTGCAGCTAGCATGAGACAGCCTGTCGCCTCTAAGTGTTAACTTCAATGTTCACTTTTATATATATATATATATATATATATATATATATATATATATATATATATATATATATATATATATATACACACAAACATATATGTATATATATATATATATATATATTGTGTATTTAGGCAGCAATCCTTCATTTATACATACTTGTTATTTGAATTGTGCAATTTTCATATTAATGAATTTTTTGCTGTGTTGCAAGAAAAAGGATTGTATAAAAAGAAACTTAAAATTGTAATTTAACAAACACTGTGTCGATGTTAGGTTGTTATGTGATTCTATTATTTCATGCCCAATATATATATATATATATATATATATATATATATATATATATATTATTTCACGCACATATATATATATATATATATATATATATTGTGTATTTAGGCAGCAATCCTTCATTTATACATGTTTCAATAAAGACGGGAGACAAGTTACTTTTATTTAATTTTTCTTGTGTTCGAACAAGTGTTTTCTTTTCTGGACACAAACTGTGTAGAAACTATCCAAATATTCTGTAATTCTGAACGCTTTCAGTTATACTTTTAGCCATTATCAAGGATGATTTTATTTTTGTTTTTTAATTGGGTGTATGGGTTGTGTGTATATTTTTAGTGTTATAGAGATCTTTTATTTTCCGAACACTGTTAGCCCATTGTGGCCATGTTCTTAGTTAATATTATTAAGTGTTGGATTTTTCTTTTTATTAAGGCTTCCATTATTTTGAATCTTTTTTTACATGTGGATGAGGTTGTTATGTTTGTATTTTCTACTAATATGTTTCGAATGGAGTCTGGTAAGTTTATGTGTGTGTTTAAATGAGTTCTAATAGAGCTGTGGCTGAATAGATGTAATGTAAGGCATCTAGATAGGCAGGTAGTAGTGTGACTGATGTAATTATTGATGAATTTTTTCTTAATATATATACATACACACATAGATAGATACATATACATATATATTTATACATAGATAGATAGAAATACAAATATATGGATACATACATATATAGACAGATATATAGACACATATATATAGATATATACACCCTTGTGCAAATTAATTGAAACAACCACTTTAGTTTCCTTTCTTTCAACATACAGTCAGATTTGGACCCACTGTAGTTACAGAGTGTAATCGATTTCTATTTTTTTCCTCATATTAGGTTATTTGCAGTGTTGCGAGGTAATATAAATGTTTTTGAGGTGTATGATGAAATTAGTTTGATCTTGAAAAACTGACCTTGCGTTATCTTTCAGTTTTTCATCATGCACACACTATTGTCTCAACTGTCGATTAGTTGTCCTACATCCATTGTCTGCAATGGACATTACTACAAGGAAGCATATGAAAATTGTAATATTACACGAACACAATGGCAAGCCTTACCAGTGATCAAATCAAACTGGCTCAGAAATTCTCCTGATTTAAATCAAACCAAAAATGTGGGGTCAATCTGTAAGGAAAGACTTTGTGCAATGAACATAAGAAGTACTAACATGTGAACTGGGTCATATTTCATTGGAAAAATATGAAAAAAGTAAATAATAAAGGAAATGTTTGTTTTGTTTCAGTTAATTTGCACACGGGTGTATATATGTATATTATTTGCACACGGGTGTATATATGTATATTATTTTCAGATAGAGTGTATCTGTAAAGGAACAAAATGAATAGTTAAAAGGAAAACTTATTTTCAGCCTGGGAAAACATTTTCGTAGATAATGACTATAACAATCATCTCTGGTGTAATCAAGACACTTTCAATACAACACATTGTTGCAGCCACTGGTAAAAAAATAATCAAATCAATGATGAGTAAATAAAAATTTGATACACTTGTCATAGTTTCATAATTTAATCATCTCTACTTAAACTTCTGAACTAGTAATGTTTCTAACCAAGACTAATAGTTTGTGTTCAAGCCTACTTCAAGGCCAGCATTTCAGATGCTGATTTTAAAGGTATACATACTCTTGCCACATGAAAAATAGGTGCCCCAACCAATTTCACTTACATCCAACTAAACTTTGTAAATATCAATATCTTTTAATGATAATTCAAAAAGAAAAAAACTACTTACTCTTCTGTTTGTAAAATTGGAGAAACTTTTTACCATGATTTCTCCAATAATTTCAGGATCGTTGATAAGAAAAAGAGGCTTGGTTCCAATAAAGATTCTGCAAGAAAATGAATCTACTCATTTATAATTGCATTTCAAATAAAGAACTCAATTTGTTGAAACTGTTCCAATATTTAGGCATTTAAAAAAAATCTTATTTTTTTCTCACAATAGAAAATTAATAATTAAATAATAATTAAATAGATTTGATCTCAAACTTTTAAGAAACTATAATGATTAAATAATGACAAAATAAGAATTACTTTTGCAAATAATAATTAATAATGACATTTCCAAAGTCTTAAAATGCTAATCTTATAGACATTATCAGTTAACTCTTTGCAAGTTTGCATGGAGAAAATCACTTACCCATAAACATCACCAAATTGTTTCTTCCAGTCAAAAATATATTGACAAAAATAAATAATTAAAAAAAAAAAAAGAAAATTTAAATAATTGTAATGTACAAATCATCCTCCCCACCACCAACAAAAAAAATGGGATTAAAAGTTGCCTGAATGTTTTTCACAAATAATGACAAAAATGTTTCAAATAAAAATGTACACAAAATTTAAATTAACTAAAATTGCCTATTTCAGAAAAACTATTGAAGTATTATATTATTATAATAAAATTGTTATTTTTAGCAAGTGTTTCAAACTATTTTTATTCCTTATTGAATGACTAAAATTGCTTCATGATTGAAAACATTAGCAAAACTATAGCTAATCTTGATCTTAATTTTGTTAATAAAATTATTCATCTTGATAATGGTAATAAAATAATGAAAATTAATGCAAAAATACTACAAATGAAATGTACAGCAGAGAAATTTACTCATGCAACTTCTAGAATGATTTATTTAAAATTTATTTCTAATCAGACAAAAAATTATATTTAAATTCGTCATTTTATTTATCGTTTACCTTTATCATATAAGATCTAAACAAGTTAATGTTTTCTTACAATACAGTTATTAACCAAATAATGTTGTCGAATTTCTCAGGATATATAGTGTTACATATGAATTTTTATCACATATATCTTTCTATGGTCTAAATATTCTGGGGATTTACTTACAAATAAAATATAAATTGCACTGATATCTTCAAAAACAATCAATATTTTTAATAAGGAAAGAAATTACTAGCTTAAACTGCAATAATGTCTTTCTCATATAAGTTTTAAAAAATTTGTAATCATTATTTTTTATTTCAGATACTCACTGCCTGACTCATTTGTTTAAGATTTCCAAAATAAACCATCGGCTTTGGACCTTTCAGTTGATGTTCATTAAAGTAGCCAAAAGTTCTTCTTCCATAGCTAGATAAAAAAAAAAAGATGGTCTCAATAAAATACACTTTCTTTGATGTAAATATGTTCAGATTCCAGAGAGAAATGTATTAAAAGAGAGATAATTTTAAAAACCTATATAAGATATATTTTTCAGCTTTTCATGTGAAATAAATACAAATATTTTGTAACACATAATAGTATGGAGAACTATGTTAATAAAATGATTAAATTTATATGTATATCTGCTTCCACACTAGCTTAAAAGCCACCCTATCAGGCGGCATTTAAGCTAGCTATTGCAGAGGGCTCTTGATTAAACCTTCATCACAAAGAATAGGGAGGAATAGTGGTAGGCAATAATAAACTACAGAAGAACTCAAAACCGATCACTGCATTTAAGTATTGCATTAATATTTAAGTTTACCCTTTAAAAGTTCAATGATAATTCTTCTACTGCCACTTAATTTAAAGACAATTTGATGTACGTAGGTCCTTACTTTCCGTACAAACAATTATTTTTATTTGATGGGCGACTTTCACTGGATTTCACAATTAATTTTGATTATTCCCAAATTTATTTCCAAGTTATAAAAATTGTTATCGTACAAAAAAAAATTTATTTAAAAAAATTACGTAAAAAAAAAATAAAATAAAATAAAAAAAGATCGCCAAAAACAATCACAGTAATGAAAACATGGGAATCCAAAATTTCAGGATTGCAAGTCTGGATCCAGCCTGGAATGTTTTTAATGTTCTCATGGAGTTGGCCATGTCACATATTTTATCAGGCTTAAAATTAAATTTACTTAACATTTCTACAGTTTGTGAAGTACAATCACTGAACTACATAAACTCAACAGAAAACATCAAGTGACACACTCAATCAAAGGGAGACAACTTCATGAACAGAACAGTAAGTTGAGTACAATATTAAAAAATTCAACACCAAAAACAAACTGTTTAATTTTCGTGCAAACACCTTATCAAACATCCATTTTTATACACACAATTTCTGAACTCTTAATCTTTCATATAATATCTTCATAAGCACTTCAATTCACACAAGAAAAAACTTTGAAGCAATTTAAACAACTCATAACATACAATTTTGTACCTTCTATTGGTTATATATATAAAAAAATATTTATTGTTGAACCAATGTATTGTTACATATTGTTATGTCTCTTATTGTTTGCTTGTTTTTGGTTACATTTGTGAAATAAAATAAAAAAGTAGCAGATTAATCAAATTTCCATCAACTTTTTACAGATTGGTAAACCCATCTTGTTAGTGGCATTAACCCCAGTACAAGACAATTATCATTTTTATTTTTAAATGGGTGCTCCTCACCTAAAAATGCAATAATAAGTTTAAATTTTTTTAATTTAAAACATTAAAAATCTTTTTTGAAACTGTTAGCATTTTACATTCAGGCTGATAGATTAAAAAAAATAATATTTGCATTAAGCATAACTAAAATACTTTGGTTTCGTTAGTGTTGTATTTCAAACCAAATTTAAATTGATTGGAATCTTTTTCTCCTCATTAATGAATGAGTAAAAATCTAGAATTCGTTCAACACAAAATAATTCTATTTTTTTTTCTTTCACAAAATTTAATTGGACTGAACTGTTACGTGACATCTGGCCCTCTTTACGGCAGCGAATGTTGGACAATTTCGTCAAAGATGAAGAAGAAACTCAAGGTGACGGAGATGTGGTTCTACAGAAATTATAAGGCTACCATGGACCGAGCGTGTGAGCAACGATGAGATTTTAGAGAGGGTGCAAAGAAGGAAAAGGCTTATATTTAACAACAGGAAGAGCCTGCTGAAGTTTCTGGGACACATAATGAAGAAGGAAGGCCAGGAGAATCTGATACTCACGGGTTGAATAGAGGGAAAGAGAGACAAAGGAAAACAACGCATGGCATACCTGGCGAGCTTGAGCAGCTGGATGACAGAATGTGGTCTGGGGGAGGAAGCAGTGGGAAGGAACCTGTTGAGAGTTGCAAGGGATGGAGTGAGGTGGAGAGCCATGATCGCCTACGTCCTGAAAGGACATGGCACATGAAAAGAAAGAAAAGAATTGGGTACATGCCCAAAAATTATGTGACTGATGTGGACGCCATTTTTTAAATAATTTTTAGAAGTAAAATGTGTATTTTTCATTATGTTAACCAAAGAAAAAAAAGAAATAAAATTAAAAAGACACTCAGCAAAACGTCAATCAATAACAAACATTGGCTTTCTTTAAGAATCAGACTGTCAACAAAATGAAGTCTTCGAGGTGTTGCCATCCAAAGTCTGTTAAACTTTTAAAAAATAAGTTGAAAAACTAGTGTAAAATTTTTTTGACCCTTCGTGAAGGGCTGAGAATTAATTAAAGTAAATATGTCTATTACTTTAATTTTTTTCTAAGCGTAGCTTAGACGTGGCACAAAGCCAAACGTATGGGGCACCTACTGAAGATCAAACTCACTTTTCAGTCGTAACCGGTCTAGCGAGACAAGCTTATTAACCATTACACCACGTCGAAGTGCACACTAGCCGCATACGCTATGTAAACCTAATCTCTAATCTGGTTTTGTATCCGCTAAGTTAAACAATGGATGAAAACGTCGTTTTTATATATTGTTAATCCATTTATGTGTTAAATTCAGTATTTTTTAAAATTGTTATTATTTATTTGTTTGATCTTTGATCCCTGTCCTTTTTCCTCAATACCCCCAAAAAAACAAGTCATTTGCAGTGCTTCAAAACAAAAGGCTAGTGGCAAAAACCCTCATTTTGAAGTGAAATGCTTAAAACGAAAAAAAAAAAAAAAAAAAAAAAAAAAAATGTAATATTTTTTTTTTTTTTAAATAAATTCTCCAAGGGGATTTTTTTTTAATCTAAACGGGCATCTTCATAAATAGTAATCTTGTTCCCGACACTATGTTTATTGCCACTTTTCATTGACAAAAAAAAAAAAACACTATCATCAACTGCATATTACAAAATTACCCCATTTGTCTCAACCAATTGAATAACGGCTAACCACCGCTAAGTTTTCACCGTTTATAAAAGTTAATCAGTATATAAAGAAAAGAGGGCATAGTGTCTTAAAAGTCTCTCTCGATTTTTGTCTTATCATCTCTCTCTCTTTGTCATCCTAAATAGAAGTTGTGAATATATAAAAACAAAATGAGTGATTGATTTTTTCACCCTCAGGCATTCCTATCCTAAATAAAATAAAATTATTATTTATTTTGTTTTAAGATTTTTCTACGTATAACATTATTTCTTGCAACAATCGACCGTCTGGTAGAGTGGTCAATATTCGAATTTAAATGGAATAACGTATAAAATTCAATGCAGACCGTATTTGTAAATTTTTCGAAAGTCATTATTTCCCCAATCCTGCCTGCAATATTGGCCTTGTACAGCAGGTCTAAGTTTGAAATAATGATTAAATGATGGTGTTGCAGGCCCGGTAGGGTGCAGTGCTGGTTTATTACTAAGTGGCCTTGTGCCAGACACCACACTAAACTACCGAGTCTACAAGCAAAGTAAAAAAAAAAATAAAATATGCGTGAATGAACAACGAAGAAATGTGGTTAATCCACACGTGCATAAAATAAAATATATTAAGATAGCCGACACAGAATGACAGAACAAAAGACTGGATTCCAACAAGAGTAATTTTTATTAAATGCAGGAA